GCATGCGTGTTACTGCCCCAAAACTGTCTTGATGGCATCAACAAGTACCGGTGTGACATGTTTACGGCCTTTTCCAGGTTGAACTCCTAATTTCTCCGTCTCTTTAAATCTCTTAATCATGGCCCAGATACCTTTAGTAGACGTTGGTCTACGCCATAGGTTCTTTCTACGACGAAATTCATGAACTGCAGCAGTAGCATTCGTCTTGTTTTTGTAAAACAGCTTCACCAATAACGCACGTTCAACTAAAGACACCATCATTAGTACAGCCGAAACATCGACTTAAACATCACAACATCTGTAAACCTTTTATACCCTAACCTGTTTTGCATAAAGCTTCCTCTTCTTTCCAAGCATGCAAACCTTGACATTTTTTTCTTACAACTGACAGCTTTTCCCACTTTTGCATTTTATTACTCATAATTCTTGTGTCTGGATTGTTAATATTGTTTCTGTATTCCATTTTGGTCGTTTATTGTGTTAAATTTCATGTTTTTCCTGAAAAGGCGCACTCTGGTTGACATTTTGGAACTAAAAATTGTTTTTCGAATTTCCATGAGTGCATCTCATGTATAGCCGATATGCAAAATTTTGTTGCATTCCGTTCACCCGTTTGCGCTGTAGGATGCCATTTATAGTGGAAGTGTAATTATAACCACCTGGTATATATACATAAATTAAGCTTGGCATACATATGTATGTGATGTACCAGCTTTTGTCCAGAATAAATAGATTGGTGAAGAATCATAAATGTAGTCGTAGCTTAAATTATCAGATGATAAGTTTAAAAAACAGGATCTATTTATTATTATTCAGGAGAAATAGCAGTTTCAAAAACAGATATCTAGAGTAAATAAAAAGAATTACTAGTAACTTTTTGTATGAAGTTTACTGCATCGTTACATTAAAGAAAAGCCCCCGATATTCCTTTGCGAGTCCTTTTATAGCCTCTGGAAAGGCGGAGCTTCCAAGAAATGACCTCAGCCTCGTCAGCCAATCCAGTTCGCTTTAAATATTTCCAGAACATTCTATAACTGTACGTGTAGAAAAGGCGGAAAAAACAACTTGACTACAGGGCTGTGGATTTAATTCCACGTTTTTTCAAATAAGAGACCGTCGCCATTAAAAATGAAAGAACATACAGTTAGAAATTTAAGTGTAATTTTGACTATGGAATTTTATTACAAAATATCCCCCCCCCCCCCAAAATCTGAAAAGGCTTGAAGCCGGGCGCCTCGACTACAAGACATTCCAGATAGTGAAAAAGCATGACAACAGCTAGAAAATTAATTTTAAAATAATTTCTTAATTTGTTGAAGAACTTGCATCCAGAATTCGAGTTACAATAATATTAATCTTAAATAGACACTCTCACTATAACACAGTCAATAATAATATCAATATATAAAATTGTAAATAATATACCTTAATATATTGACATTTATAAAAAATAAAGAAAAATAACATTATGCATGCTGTATTGGGAAAACATTTCTCGAGAACAGTTTCAGTTCTAGATCCAGGTCTTTAGAGATTGCTGCAAAACATTAAAGCAGTTCTTATTTTACAAATCTTTCATTTCCAGTTCGCCGTGGCTTTAATATGAAAAATTTCTATTTGAGGTGAGGTATTCCTCTTTTTTTTTTCTTCATGTCATTGACATTTGCAATACTTGACTAATTTCTTAACATTTCCTTTTGACTTTTAGTTTGTTTACAGTATTTTATTTTGACAGTATTTTATTTTGACGAAAACAAAGCTGTATCACAATTCACAATTCTTCAGTTGTAAAAAACAGACACAACTTGCACTTAAAAAGTTCTTTCTCTTCCATTGGAATTAGTTTCCTCTTTGGGTACACCAATCCTGCCGACTCCTATTGGCTTTTATTACAAATTTTGGACTATATGAATGGCTAAGACTCCCTTTTGGCTTCAAAAATGCACTGGCTATCTTTAACAGAGTTATTAAACAAATCCTCACTAAAAATAAAATCCAATTTTTCGGTGTCATCAGGGTGAATAGGAATGTGCCAAAACCCTGATCTTAGATCTATTGTAGAAAAAACATTTGCATTACTTAATTTGTCTAATAAAAAGTCTATCCGGGGCAGGGGATGAGCATCAGTCTTTGCTAAAGCATTCAACTTACGATAATCAATACACATTCTGGTTCCCCCCCCTATCTGAAAAAGACGTTCTATATATTTTACAAGATGATGAAGCTGAAAGTGAAAAGAAAAAATCTGCTTTGGAAAAAGAGCACCTTTTTGTAGAATTTAACAGTGATAAAGGAGGCTATATTGGAGAAATATGTGCAAAGCATAAATGTGAACCAGGAAAAGTGTGTGAAATAAACGAAGACGGAAAAGCTTATTGTACTTGTATTGAAAAATGTCCTGAGGAGATTGATTATAGAAGAAAGGTTTGCAGTAACCACAATGAAACTTGGGACAGTGATTGTGAACTGTATCGCATGAGGTGTTTATGTACTGAAAGCTTGGAAGGTTGTAAATTGAATAAGTATAATCACGTACACATTGATTATTATGGACCATGCAAAGATACAGGAGAATGCACTAAACAAGAATTAGAAGATTTTCCTCGTCATATGAGAGATTGGCTTTTCAATGTCATGCAGGAATTGGCACGAAGAAATGAGTTAAAAGGACCTGCCCTTGAACTTGAACAAGAAGCAGAAAAGATGAGAGAGGAATGGAGAGCGCTTGTGTTTGGAGTTCTGTCTGCTGTGTTCTAAACGCGGAATTTACAGGTTTAACAAATTATGCACCTGCACAAGGTCTTCATACTTTTTCTGATTGTTGCAGTTGTTGCATCCAAAAAGGAGGAGCTTCTAAGAAATGACGTCAGCCAATCTAGTTCGCTTTAAATATTTCCAGAACATTCTATAACTGTACGTGTAGAAAAGGCAGGAAAAACAACTTGACTACGGGGCTGTGGATTTAATTCCACGTACTTTCAAATAAGAGACCATCGCCATTAAAAATTATAAAAAACATACAGTTAGAAATTTAAGTGTAATTTTGACTATGGAATTTTATTATTACATATACTATATATGAGAATTTTTTAATTTTTGGTGTGTTTTAAAAGGTAATTAATTTTTCAGCCCAGATTTATATTGAAATAAACTGCCTCAATGGTTATTTCTAAATATTAAAAAAAATATTGCTTAATCAAGAAAGGATGGAAGCTATAAATCCTCTTTAGTAATTTGTACTTCCTTCAGTTGCACTCAATACCTACATTCTTCATTATTATCTGAATTACCGAGTGTTATTATTCCTGTGCTCATTCATAATCCATATTCTTCATCACTAAATTTCCCCTTTTGATATACTGATTTCCGTACTTAGTCATATTTTTCTTAATTAGTTAATTTCTTTCTGCTATTTGTACCGATTTCTGTATTAAATCATCCAAATTCTTCTTTTTGTTATTTCTACTGACTTCTGTATTCAGTTGTCATTTATATTCTCTTCTTTATTAACTAAATTCTTTTTTTTGGGGGGGGGTGCTGATTTCTGTAATTTCTAATCAGCCATTTTCTTCTTTATTAACTAAATTATCTTTTATTATTTGTACTGATAATTAAATTTCTGTATTCAATTATCATACAAATTCTTCTTATTGTTATTTATACTGACACACAGCCATCAACTACATTCTTCCTGTATTATTTGCTAAACTCCTTTTTATTATTTGCACTAATTTCCATATTCAGTAATCACCCATATTTTTTGTCTATTAACTGAATTCTCTTTAACTATTTGTACTAATTTCTGCATTCAGTTATCCATGTTTTTCTTTATTAATTAATTCCCTTCTTTTACTTGTACTAATTTCTGAATGAAATCATCATCCTTATTTGACGGTTTCTGTACTCGGTCATTATCTATAGTTTTTATTTGTAACTAAGTTTCCTTTTGATTTTATTCTGACTTCTATATTCAATCATTATCCATATTCTAATGTATTAACTAAATACCCTTCTGTTTTATTTATTTATTTGTGCTGATTTCTGTACTCAGTAATCATCCATATTCTTCTTTATTAACTAAATTATCTTTTGTTATTTGTTCTGATTTCTGCATTCAGTCATCATACAAATTCTTTTTGTTATTCTTTTGGTGTACTGATTTTTGTATACAGTCATCATCTACATTCTTTGATTAGCAACTAAATTCACATTAACTATTTGTACTAATATCGATACTCTGTCATTATCCACATTCTTTTTTATTAATGAAATTTCCTTTTGTTATTTGTAATGATTTCTGTATTCGGTCATCATGCAAATTCTTTTTGTTATAATTTTGTTGTTTTGTTATACTGATTTCTGTATACGGTCATAATCTACATTCCTTTATTATTAACTAAATTCACTTTAAGTATTTGTACTTCTTTCTATACCCTGTCATTATTCACATTCTTCTTTATTAATTAAATTTTCTTTTGTTATTTGTAATGGTTTCTCTACCAAGTCATATTAACTAAATTTGCTTTTATTGTTTGTACTGGTATTCAGTTATCATCCTCATTCTTCTGTAATTAACGCCTACCAGCGGGCGAGCGGTAAAATCGCTGAACACTGGTAGTTCGGTCCGAGGTTTGAATCCTGTGAACGGGCTGTCTGCATGGGCGTTTTCGTGGTTTTTCCCATGTGTAACGTGTATACGAGCCAGTTTCCTTTAGAAAGTCCTCCACGAAAGGCATCCCTCCCCTTAGGCAGATAGCCCTAGTGTGCTTTGCCGTATTCTCAATACACCACCACCACCACCACTTCTGTAATTAACTACATTCAATTTTATTATTTATACTGATTTTTGTATTCAGGCATCATCCATGCTCTTTATTAACTTATTTAAAGTGATGGTGTTATTTATATTAGTGTCAGTTTGAGCTTTATGCTCATTCTATCCTTAAAATAAAAGTAATACTTACGTAATGTAATTGTGTGATTTTTCTTTTTGCAAACAGTGGAGTGAAGTGTACAGTTTAGACATGTTCTATTCTCGTTTTAAAGATGGCAAAGTGATGAACAGCGAAGTAGGCAGAGAATACAGAGAAAAAATTTTAAAACCAGGTGGATCAAAGGTATTCCTTTATTTTTTTAATTGGTTTTTGACATAACAAACACTTAATGGAAAATTTTTTAATGCAGATTGCATGTAAATGTTTGGTGTTTAATACACTGCTAATTTTGAACTAGTTAATTGTATTATACCCTTAATCATTGTACTCATTGTTGTTTTTGCTCTTAAAGATTTATTTCTATATGTGTGATTGATGTGTTTAAAATATTTAAAGTCTGATTGTTGATATTATTGGTTTATTAAAGTGTAATTTGTTTGCTGTTTTTTAGTTTTTTAAACTCAGATATATAAAGAAATCTATTACCAAAAATTAAAATTTGCTCATTACGTTGTGTTAAGTATTGTATGTCTAATCATGAGACCTGCCAATTAACTCAAGGCGACTGCTATAGTCACTGGCCTTATACATTTAAAGGAGGCTAGAATCAGATGAAAAATTGATTGGTATATTTTGTTTTTAGCTAATGTTGGTCATGGCAAAGACAAAGTTATAATGATTATTTTACTTAAAGCACAAATCAAAAAGCATGTATCATTAATTCATCATTAAATGCATCAAGATGGCAAACATAAATGCTTTTTTTTTTGTATGTGTGTTTCAAGATACTCCTACAAGAAATGGATAAGGACTTGCTTCTGTGGCACAGGCATTCATAGATATTCTGTCTGAAGATGTTTCTGTGGTAAACAGACAGTAGTCCAGAATTAATTTGTAATGATGTATGGATTAATTGAGTTGAGTCTCTTTGCAGGCAATATCAGCAAAATGTAAATTTAACTACACTTTTTAAACTGTATGTTAGAATCTCTGATGAGTATGTCACGATATTTGGTTTCCAGAAAAAGTTGCCATAGGCATTCAGACATTTGTCCCATGGTGAGACCAGTCTAAGAATGTATCCATGTAAAATTTTGAAAAGTTACCCTTCAGATTGTAAGGCATCTATTCACATGACTATCTTCATTCACCTTTGCATTATTGTTCTCTATGGCAACAATATCGGTTTGACCAGGATGGGAATAATCACTTATTTGTTCATGTTCTTTCTTAGGTATTTTTGACCAAATCACCACTATTGTTTTTTGAGACACTTGCAATGCTCTACACTTATTTCATTCAACAAAGCATGTTAGCCAATGAACATCCATCTACACTGACCCACCAGTGCCCAAGTGGTAAGACAGCTGAATACTTAGAGTGCTACATGGGTTTGATCCCAGTAAATGGGTTGGCTGTATGTTTGGTTTTTTCCCATGTGAATGTGAATATGACCCAATTTCCTTTAGCATGTCATCCATAAAGGCATTCCTCTCCTTTGACATATACCCTATGTGCATTATACCATATTCAGGTAACAAACCCTAATCTTTTAGACTGAGGAACAGTCTGACAGCATCCCAATCTTGTTTTGATAGGTTACATATGCAGAACTGTATTTCTTGATAGCTATTCCTGCAAAAGCAAAAATCAGAACTCAATGTGTATTGCATTTAAAATATGCTAAAAGTGTACTTTTTTTTTTTTCCTTTTGTATATATAGGTTGTTTCAATATTTTTATTTTGTGTTTCATAATTATTTTGGTAGATTTAAATATGTATAACATACGTATGTAATGATGCAGGCTTAGATATAATGATGTAGGAATGTTGATGATTTAGATGTAAAAATATTGCTTTTCATAGATGTTGATCCATAATGAAGAGCAAATTTGGCAGCTGAGGCAGATTAAACAATCATTTTAATTTCAACTGACACTTGAAGCCATAAGTACTTGGTAAATTAATCATGCCTGTTCCAGAACAGTTATATTTTTTATATTGTTTGCAATAAGAAATGAGCAGCAGTCTAGATTGGCCAAAGACGAGAAGCAAGTGTCTTGTGTTCAGGATAGAATCTTAATTCAGAGTGACCTGGTTTCAGTTTCAATGCATGTGGTAGGATAATTAATAATGCTGTAAAATTATTATTATCTGTTTGAGTATTAGTTCCATTTTCATCAACAATATTACGTAAAAGTCATGTTATATAGATTAGTCTCAAAGTGAAGCAGTGCAGAAAAAGGTATTATTTTTAGACTGAAGATTGGAAGCACCTAAATTAAAATGAGGAATTAAAAGGCTATTGCTAATTTAAATTATGATTTTGATTTATATATTAACTATGATTACAAAAAAGACAGTTTCACTATTAATAACAATAAAGGGGGAGAACGATTAATAAGTCTTATGTTAAAACAATATTGAAAACCTTCAGCATGTGTTCCATCTGTGCCTCTGCAGATATTAAATCTGTTTCTAGCATAACGAAATACATTCTGAAGCATTTCAGCTAATTGTGAATAATTCTCTTGAGTTCAGCTGAGCAGTGATCTTTTTGCATCGTCTTTTTTTTTTTTTTTTTTCTAAGAAACCCCATGAAAAGAAATGTGTTCATCTGTTTCTGCACATCTTGCCGCTCAGTTGAGGTAATCTTCTTTGTGAAGGGAATGTTGTAATTGAATGTCATGAGGCATTTTCATAAGTGTTAAAGACAAAACTCTGTGAACTGTTAGCTTGAATATATTGAGCCTGAATCTTCCCTATCTGACTTAAGTTGTTGGCTCAGTTTGGAACTTTTGTCAAATCTCTTCAATTTTGTTAGGATCTGTCCTTGCTCATCTTTTTCTTACATCAACGTGCATGGATATAGGTCTTTTAAATTTGTTTACGAGTGTGGTTTTGTCTGTAGGTCCAGGTTTAATTATTTTTTAAATAATTTTCGTATCTTTTATTCAGTTTTACTCCTCCGATTCAGAACATCACAACATATATCAGTTTTTCCATACAGTGAAACCTCGAGATACGAGTTTAATTCATTCCAGCATTGACCTTGTATAGCAAATTTCTCGTATGTAGAAACAAACTTCGTTGATAATTAAGGAAATCCAGTTAATCCATTCCACATCCCCCAAAAATATCATCATAAAAATCAATTTTTCTAATAAATAACACTGGCAAATAATATAACCATAGTTTACCATTATGACAAGTCTTAACTGGTGATAGGGATGTGAAGAAGATTAAATAGGCTACTGTGGGGATGGAGAGCCCCCTTGTGATTCAGGAAGGCTCTCTCTTCTTGAGAATTTTACCCCACTGAAAGCAGTTTCTGGGTCAGAATCCCTTAACTTTCTTTTAGTTGCAGGTTGCTTTACCAGAAACTTATCTAATATCACTTGCTTCTGCTTTCTTTTTAAGATACCTCTAAAATGTGACACTACATTGCCATTACACAAGTTCATGGTGCACCCACACACTGTTTTATTAGGGTGATTTTTTTTTCAAAGAAAGTTTTCACTTCTTCCCACTTTGCCAAAACTTCTTTAATCCTGGTGGAAGAGAAAGCCTCATCTCCTGTTTCCTCCTCCCCTAACAGAAGTTCTACCACCTCTTGCTGCTGCTCCTTTTGAAGTTCTTTAAGTTCGTCTGTTGCAAGTTCTTCACTATGCTCCTCCACTAACTGATCCAGATCAGCACCATCTACATCCAGACCCACACTTTTCCCCAGAGATACAGTTTCTTCGACTAGCTGCACTGTGCTGTCCACAGGTTGAGGATTGAAACCTAAGTCAAGAATACTCTGACGCCACAGTTTTTTCCATGCTGAATTTAGGGTCTTCACTGAGACTTCTTCCCAAGCCTTACCAATGAGGTTTAAACAATTTAGGATGTTGACGTTATTCTTCCAAAATTCTTTGAGGGTCAGGTTTGTATTTGCAGCCACTTCAAAGCACCTTTGAAACAAGCCCTTTGTACAGCTTCTTAAAGTTGGAAATAACTTGCTGTCCATAGGCTGGAGAAGTAAAGTTGACTTGGGAAGAAACTTGACTTTATGAACTCAAATTCCTCCAGCAAATCATATTCAAGCCCTGGAGGATATGCAGGAGCATTATCAAGGACAAGCAAACCCTTGAGGAGCAACTTATTTTCATGAAGGTATTTCTTCACTGAGGGAGCAAAAACTTCATTAACCAATTTAATGAAAAATTGCCGTTTTACCTAGGCTTTGCTGTTGGCCTGCCACATCACATTCAGTTGGTTTTTCTGCACCATCCCTCTCTTAAAAACTCGTGGATTTTCTAAGTGGTAGGTGAGCAACGGCTTGATTTTACAATTTCCACTTGCATTGGCGTAAAACAAGAGGATAAGCCTATCTTTCATTGGCTTGTGGCCAGGCAAAGATTTCTCCTCTTGCATGATGTAGGTCCTCTTAGACATTTTCTTTCTAAAAAGACCTGCTTCATCACAATTAAATACTTTCTGGAGAAAAAAGCTATCACCAGTAATATATTGTAGGAACTCTTTCTGAAATTTATCAGCAGCAGCTGTATTAGAGTTTGCAGCCTCTCCATGTTGCACAACACTGTGAACACCAGCTCTCTTTTTAAATTTTTGGAACCATCCATGGCTTGCCTTAAATGCCATCTCATCCTCAGTCGATGTACCTGGTGTTTTTCAGAGAAGGTCCAAGTACAGATTCTTAGCCTTAGCACAAATGATAGCTTCTGACATTGAATCTCCTTTTAACTGCTTCTCATTAATCCGCACCAACAACAGCTTCTCAGCATCTTCTAGAAGTTTTGGATGGTGCTTGGAAGTAACGGTAACTCCTTTGGCTGCATCAAGTTTCTTAATTTCTTCCTTCTTCTTCAGAACAGTGCCGATCGTTGATGTCGAATGACCACAAGTCTTCGACAATGCCATCCCTTTTACACCACGCTTATGTTTATCTATGATATCTTTCTTAATGGCCATGGCTTCCTTCTTTTTCTTTGCAGCACAATCTGAGGCAACAATCTTCTTGAAAGGCATCTTGAAATAATTATTTTCATGTTAAATGTAAAAAACAATTAACCCACAAGTGCACAAACACTTAGATCAAAGAACATTGAGTGATCTGATGAGGGGATTCCCTGAGTCGAGTCAGATCGAGAAATGGTACCACGCATACCAACAGCCTCGCTCATTGCTTATTATTACTTGAGTCAGATTTTTTGCTCATACTTTCCTCGTATCTTGAATTTCTCATATATAGTGGCGTTCGTATCTTGAGAGTCCACTGTAATATTTATTATGTTTAAAATTCTGAAAAGGAACAAAAAATAAAATAAAAATTTTAATTTCAGAAAACCTGAAAAATACAATTTAGTACACTTTCAGCATATTTTAAACATGCTAAACATTATTAATAAACTTCCCGTAAATTATGTGTTTGGTCCAAAAATTTGATAGTAAGTTTTCAGTGAATAAGCAGAAACTAGGGTGTGTAGAATACAACGATGTAGGTATCTGTGTGTCATGATTTTTTTTTTCAACCATGATAACTACTGTACAAAGTCTGAAATCCGGACTCGTCAGGACTTCGGCAATTCCGGATTTGGTGTTTTTCTGGATATTAGATCATCAGTTTAAATATAGTAAGATGGTATGTAGAAATTATAAAATTAAAAATATGAAATTGTGATTTATGAAATAATGGAGTATTTATGATCTAAAGACTATCAAAATTTACAAAAAAAAAAAAAAAGCTTAAAATTGTTTTGTTTGCCTTATTAAATTCTTTCAATATAAATTGTTTAAATTGCTTCGTTTTTTTGTGCTAATACTTTCTCTCTAATTCTGTAGACAGACATAATCTCTTGTTTAGTTACATTGTTGAAGTAATGTAACTGCTTTGGGAAATTTCACCTTTGTTTTGCGATATTCGAAAACCTTTAAAATTAGTGGCTATCGTCATCAAATTTAGCTATCCTTCACTATACATATTTGGCTATGCATCATGAGCTTGGCAAGTAACGAGAAGTTGTTCCGTTAAATATTATCTTGCTTCTATTGCATACTGAGACTGCGGCCATACGAGCCCTGACGCTGGTTCTGGGTTTATGTGAATAACAAATTAATTATTCTTAATTCAAATAGCCCTCAATGTAATCTTTGGGTCTATGAGTATCATCAGCAACATCTGTTTTTAGCATATGAAAAGAAATTTTTGTTAAATTTTTCCTCTTCAACAATTTTTAGCGCATTTAAATCTGTAACTATCGCCAAGCATAATGTCAACATAAAAGGTTACCATACTCCTTTATTATTCAATTACTAACATAAAAAAATTGTTTAGACATCGCTACATGAGTCATTACTCAAGTTGTTATGTTTTGATAAACATGCGGTGGTGAAAGGAAAGTATAATAAATAATGATTCGCCAGGTTGGTGTCAGGATCAACGATGTATCTATGTGGAATGTTTCGGTTTGAGATGTATGCCAAAAAGCAGACACGCAGAAATGGAGTACTGGTCGTACAAATTTATGCTAAAATGTTTGTTTCTTCAATAACAAGGTATTTTATTTAGTGTCAGGACTCTCCAGATGTTCTATTATGCACGGTTATGTTATTATGTTATGTATACTTAATTTTCTTTAATTACAAACCAAATTTGAGGCATTAGTTCATCTTCCCAATAAAATACAATTTTTACGAAAAGAAATAAATTGAAATATTTAATAATTATGGTATAAATTTATAAAAACAAATTTTTTTGCACTGTACTGCACATTAAGGAGGACATATGCCAGATATATCTTTACAACTAAATACTCTTTGCATCTCGCCATATATACAATTATGGTAAAAAAATAGGTATAAATTGTTTACCCCTTATATTTTAGAATCATGTTTCAATATTGTTGGTGAAATAAGAAATTTTATGGTTGACAACCAAACATATATGCTAAATGTCTGTACTGTTTTATAGTGAAAATTATCTTATTATAATTAGATTGTCTTCTCCCTTTCCAGGATGCCTACGATATGATCATCGACTTTCTTGGTCGAGAACCTACTCAAGACGCTTTTCTAATTAATAAAGGCCTTAAAATATAAATTATTCAATTGCAATAGTATACAACAGTTAATCATAATTGATTATATATATCTGATGGATATCTTTGGAGTGGTACCACCCTATGCAATATTTGTCACAGGATGTCATAATGTGCTGATTTTTATAAAGAGATTTTAATTTAAAAATGTTTTTATAGTTATTTGAGTATTTCCATTTTTTAAAAACTATGTTGTTAGATAACAAGTATAAATATACATGAGTCTTCAAGTCGTATGTGGTAATTTTTAAAAATTATGGAAGGAATGTGTGGGTTGAAGTAGATTTGTTGTGTTATTTAAATCGTAGTGGCTATATTTTGCAAAAAAAAAAAAAAAAAAAAAAAAAAAAAAAAAAAACAGAATTGGGTTTCTTTCAGAAGTTATATGTTTGTTCCAGGATAGTGAAAGAAACTGACAAAAGAATGGAAGAAGGGAAACTCTATAAAATGAGCACTGATGCATCAGTAAGTTGCTAAAGGGAATAAATTTGTTAATAACGTTTAACTAATTTGGAAAGCAAATGAACATTTTTTTTAAAACTTTTGTTGTCTAAAACACTAATGGTGAATAGGTTTATTTCTATTTCATATTTAATTGAAAAAGTCAAAAAAATTATTGCATTACTTTTAGCAGTATTTTTTTCAATGCTAGTGAATAAGAGACATATAAACAGAATAGAATTCTGTGAACATATAATATAAAAATCAATATCTCATCATTTGGCCTTGAGTGCTTCAATACCTCTCCAACTTAGAGGCTACATCGGAAGTGCTGGGCATCTTCCGATGTAGATCCTATCCATTTCTTCATATGAGCCACAAATATGGCAGTTTGGGCTGGTAAGAATACCAACACAATAGACATGGCTCACCAGCTGTCGTGACCAGTTTCAAACCTAAAACTGGCCACAGCTATTCTCCGTGGTTAGCCTATGGTGCAGTCCTGGAGTCCGAGAGGATGACCAGTTTGTCTTAGCTGAAATTTGAGGCATTAATCCATCTAAGGGTCGCACAATAACCATTATCTCACCATTGAAAGCAGTTTTTCACATACTCATGGGTATGTAGAATAAAAACTGGCCAGAAAAAAGTTCCCACACTGGCATTTGATGAACCTTCAGTGAACGAACTGTCCATATAGATATAAAACCAATCCAGTTCAGCATAAATTGTATGTATAATAATCAAGGGCTAAATTTTTTAAAGTATCTTCAGCTGTTTGACTTTTCAAACTGTGTTGAGTAAGAATGTAAGTTGATATTTCTCCAAATCAAGTCCAGAGGTCTATGGGATTTCAGAAAAGTGTGAAAAATCTCATTTTTAGTTCAAGGTCTGATCAAAGTTTCAGCAACTTCTGGAGAAATTCATCTTAGGTTATAAGGTCCTGTGGTCATTTTGGCCCACCAGCGGCTGAGTGGTAAAGTCACAGAACACTGGTATTTATTCCAGGTCAATGGGTTGGCTGCATGAGTGTTTTCATGGTTTTCCCATGTGTAACATGTATATGAGCCAGTTTCTCTTAAAAAGTCCTCTACATAGGCATCCCTATAGGCAGATAGCCCCCGTGAGCTTTGCCATAATTTAATAAATTAAACCAAACTTGTGGTCATTTCTGAAACAATTCCAAAAAGGGACCTCAATTCTCATTAATTTCTCAAGAAGGAGCATTACATCCATAGGCGGAAAGTCTTTACCACCCCAATAATTAGTCTTAGGATGTGGTTTTGTAAGATATCCAATTTTTATATTAAGTTTCTTGTAGCTGTGATCAAAATCTCACAGCAGTAATTAGGGACCAGTAAAATAAATGGTTTTTATGTTTGGTTCTGTTGACCGGGAACAACTCTAGAGACAGGCTTCCAAACATTTTAAAATTTTCAATCTTTTTTTTCAGTTCTCTCAGTTAAAGACTCTGTTTGGAACCCCCAGCTTAGTTTATTATCAAAAACTGCTCTTAAGTAGGTACATTTATCATTGTTAGTCAAACAAGAACCCTGATAGAATATCTCGGGGTAATATTTCTGTGCATAAGGAAGAAGGTCTGTACTGCTGTTTTGGTTCAAATTACCAGAACATTATTTTCCTCCCCATCTCTCAAAAATCACAAGTGCTTCTCAATTTCAAATTTAGCATTCTTTTTTGCTACCTGGGTCCATAAAAGAAGATTGCAAACAGATCATTAATGTACATGTTAAAAAGAGAGCAGTTTCTATCAGCACCCTGTGGCAATTCAGTTTGGAGTATAAAACATTTTGAAGTAGCATATCCATAATGTATCCTGTAGCTTCTCTGGCTCAAGAACTCATGGACCAACTCAATATTTGGAATCTACTCTTAGATTTTTAAGCTTAGTAACCTTGCTTTCTTTTCAAATGGTGTCAAAAGTGGATTTGGAATTCATGTACACTGCCATCATCATGTATCTTCTTTTTAAAAAATCCTTACTACTTAAGTTGAGCAGCTAGATCAGTTTCTGCAGAACCCAGGCTGTTCTTCAGAGAGGATGTCCTTGGTTGCAAGAACCAATTTAATCTCTTGATTAACATTTGTACCATCAATTTTGCCAGTATGCAGGGAAGAGATATTGGTCTATAACTGTCAGTTCTCTCATTGTTATTATCTTTTTTTTTTAAATGGGAATACTGGTGGCCCTTTTCCACAGGCAATGAACCAACCCTGAATTTCAGATGTGGTTGAAGATCCTCAAAATGGTCTCCCTCACACCAATCCCCATATATTTGAGAAATTCTATATGGATTTTGTGTTCACAGGAAGATTTTTCGATTTCAAGTCCATTTAACTTGGTGAGAAATTCATTTTCCATGAAAACTTTTTGTGATATTTTAGTCAGTATTTCTAACAACATAGTTTTGAGGAAATAACATATAAAAGTAGCTTCATATTAACAATAAAACATTCTTAATTTCCCATTTTTGGGGGGAGGGGGGAAGGTTTCTCTTACATGTATTTGTTCTAGATTCTAGAGGATATGGAGTTAGGGGAATGTATTATTAGTTACATATATATAAACATTGCATATACTTACTAGTCAAAAGTTTTTAGCCTTTGAATATATTTCTGAAAAATAATATAAGAACTTCCTATTTCTGAAAGAAGATTTTGCATCTTAATTATTATTTGATTCATCCTTAATAAATTAATCCTTAAGAACAATTAAAAGTAGATATCATTTAACTAATTTTGCAAAGAGATATTTAACTTCTGTGTGAGTTTCATTTTCTGACTGTCTGAATTTTTGAATTTTCTCAACTTTTAAGAAAAAGAGCTTACAATATGCAGAAAAACATGCAAAAACAGTATGCATTGGTGAAAATTGTTTTGTATCCTGAGATTTCTTCTCTGATAATTGGTTTTCTTAACATTGAAAGCTGTGTTTATTTATTTATTTTTTTTTTTTTTAAGTGCTACCACTCCCTTTCCATACAAGTATGCTCTGCCCTACATATTTGTATGTGTAAATGCGATAGTATTTTCATTTTAGTAAAGTTGAATGCAAGACCATGTCAGTCATATGCAAGCTGTTGGGCTGCATGATTTAGCAGTATACCAAGAATAAATGTACGACTCTACATGCTTTTGTTAGCGCCTCCTTGCTCAACAAAAGTATGCAATAAGCACCGTATATAGAATTTAATGTCTTTTTATTAATGATCATAATATGATTTCTTTCATATTGCATCTGAAAAATTTGATTTAATTTTTAATTCAAAGCATATTTATTAAACATTTAAGTGCCATTGTGCCTGATTTTGAAATATTTGAGTTTCTCCTCTTTCAAAAAAATTTTTGGGGAGCCATTAAAAAATTTTTATGAATTGATTCTAAAGGCATACGATTTTTAATTCTCAGAATATTTTTATTTACATAATTTAAATCCAGTTCTCTTAATAATTACTGTGGTCAGTTTTCTTTTTTATATATTTACCTAATGGGGATTTATAATCATTTATAAATATTTATAAATAATTTATGGTTATAAGAACCTAATGTACTTAAAATGTACAGATAAACCTATACTGTGAATGACGCTCTTTAATATGGATTAGTGTAGAATATTTTCAAAGTATTTTATTCACAATCTCTATAAAATATTTGCTTTTATTGGCAGAAATTTAACTGTTCTAAGAGTTTTCAATTTATTATTATAAGTTGCAACAGTTGGTAATAAATGCGTAAACGTTTTTCTGTTTCATACCTTAATATGCTGTTAAGTGTCATTCTGTACTTTTGGACTTATACGTATATATCTATCAAATAAGACTGTCCTTCTGAATTTCCAAACTATTCGTGACTTCAAACGCAATTCACATTTCCTGAAAAAGTTGTTTTATACTTATCAGTTCCTATATTAATGTTGGTAATATAAAGAAATTATCAAGTGTCACAAAATGTCAAGACATATATATATATATATATATGTAATTAATTTTTTAAATTAAATTAAATAGTTAAAATGATTTGTGAAATAAAATTGTAAGACTCAAGAAACAACAGCTTGCATCTAGCAGATAAACTTATATTTAAAAAATCTTATTAATCTACAATTTTTGTAAGATTTAGAAAATGACAACTTTTCTGTCGATTAAAAAAGCTAAAATTGTTTTTTTGCGAGTTTTAACTTCTGAAAATTTTTTTATATTCTGATCAGAGTTTTGGAACTTTCCACAAAAATAGTCGTACAACTCTTCACAGTATCAGAGAGTACACTCACTAATTACCCTTCAAACTACTAAGAACATTAAACACAAAGCAATGCAAAGTGCATCTAAAGAGCTAAACTAAACTGCAGATAGCACCTGGAGCTCACGCTGAGCTAACAACAACAACAACAACAATAGCTGAGAGTAGATGCTCTGTCCGGCCTTACATAGTTTGCACCTGACCGCTGAGATATTTATAGTACACTCTGCTTCTCGAAATTACTGGAAGGCAATATGAGGGTTGAATTACGGTTACAGCTGATATAGTGATCATTTATATTTATTCAATTACAATACCTATTATGGTGATACAGGGACTGGACCAAAACAGAGACTCCAAAACAGTTGCGAGCTTAACGATATATCGCCAAATTATCATAATACCTATTTACTGAATGTCAAATAGACTTGCCCCAATATTCTTTCT